TGTTTGAAGATCAACAAGATTTTCATAAGCTACAACTTGAGGAACAGGTGAAATTTTCGTATCTGTTAATAATTGATTTAATGAATCATCTCGAACTTGAATTGGTTGTAAATGATGGTGATGATGATGATTATCATTATTATTATTATTATTATTCATCATATTATTTGATGTAACATTTGATGAAAGATATTTTATTAATGAATCAGCTGGATCTGATAATGAATGACGTTTTTTTATTGTTGATGTAACATTATTAAAATGAACAGAAAGTATATCATCATTTAAACGAAGATTAGGTGGTAATAATTGTTGATCTTGTTTTATTGAATTATCCATCATATCTGTTGAAAGTTTATTTAATGATGGAGGAGATGTTGATTGACTCGATGAACGAGCCATATACGTTGCTGCTATTTCACTTTTCGATGCAAATGCTATTTTAGATTGATGATTTAAAGATGAATTACCATTATTCTATAGAACAAAAAAAACCTTTTATAAATTCAACTAGATTTCGTTAAAATTTGATGACAAGATTTAATCTATTATTTATCAATTCCATATAGTTCTATTCAAAAATTGATTGAATATATTATTCTCTTTTAATCATATAGGCTCTATTTTATATTTTCTTCTAATAGACTTCATCATGAAAGGATTAATATAATTAAGTCAAACCTTTTTTGGACTATTCATTGTATCATTGAAATTAGTTGGTGATGATGATGATGTAGCATTAAATGAATTTGCTAATTGTACCATTCGTTTTTCGATTTCAGCAATTTTAACATTATTTAAAGTATCTTGTACAGTATCAAAAGCTGTTCGATAACCTGCTGATGAAGTAAAAGGTTCGACAACTGCTGTTGCTGTTGTTGTTGATGGTGTTGGTATTGATGAACGATTAGATGTTAATGTACGTTTCTTTTTTAAACGTTGTTGTAGTTCATCTATTCGACGATCTAATTGATTTAATTCTGCCTGTTTTGATGCATAAACTTCTCGTTGATAAGCTATTTTTCGACTTTGTTGTTCATTTAATTTATTTCGAATCTTAAGAAGAAAAGAAAATACATTGTATTTTTTAATAAATGAATATATTTACCATTAATTCTTGTTTTAATTTATCTAATTCATTTCTATTTTGTGATTGTTCTTTATTTGTTGTTATTTTTATTTTTCTTAATTGATCAAGTTGTTTTGTTAATTCATCAACTTTATTTAATGCTATTGTTAATTCATGTTCTTTATCCAAAAAAATTTGTTTTAAAATTTCTAATTCATTTGCTAAAAAATATAAAAGATAAATTGAAATTTAGATTTGGTTTTTAAAAAACAAACCAAGTGTTGAATTCGAATTTCGCTGTTGATTTATTTGATTTTGAAGAGTTTTTAAACGTAAATGTTTTAATTCTTGTTGTTCAATATGTTCTTTTAAACGTTTAAGACGTAAACTATCATGAGATGTTTGTTGTTGTTTTAATTCTTGTTGTTTAAGATATTTTAAACGTTGTTCACGTGCAAGTAATAATTGTTGATTATGTTCGATTTGTTGTTGTTGACGAGCTGCCATTTCTTGTAATTCAGATAATGATAAATCCATGGATAGACTACTTATTGCAAACTAAGAACGAAAAGGCAACAATGAATAAAAATAACAATTTTTTAGTGATGATTTACTCCATTTCCGTTGGTTTGTTGCTGCTGCTGTTGCTGTTGT